ATTTACTCCCAAGTGTCTTGTTATAGAGGGGATAATAATAAATAAGTAAAAATATTTTGAAAATAATAATAAAAGTAGGGGTGATCCTCATACAGTTTGAAGGCTTCCAAGTGTGACTTTAGATGAACTAAATCAGCATTTCTATGCAGAATAAAAACCTTATAATTTAAAACAAATAAAAATTTTTTTAAAATAAAATGGAAAAAAAACCTTAATTTGTATAATGTAACGAATTCATATTAATTATTGTGTGGGATTACCGCAAATAGAACAAAGTTTAGTTTCAACATTTGGCCTATAAACCGTAGTAATCTCACTTTAAAGAAGATTAAAGATACGTTGCTACTATTTTAAATTGTGTTTATGTTTAACTTTTTTAAATTTTATTTAACCATATTAATAAAAATTTACAAATTTTCATCGTAAATTTACAAAAATTGGTTAAGTGTCACATAGATACAAACTAGTCAATGGAGTGACACATAAAAAACATAAAGTTCTCAAGAACAAAAAAGTCAACAAAAACTAGATAAATTAAAAGAAAAAGAAAAACAATGATAATAATTATCCATGCTCTTTTATTAACATTATGAATACTTCTAAATTGAATTTAAAGCTCACTCTACAGAGTTGTTGGATTACTATGGAAGTTTTTATCACAGATAGTTAATATTTGATTTCAGATAATGATGCAGATTTATCCATTACAAAAACAGAAGAAGGATGAATCAATGATTTCAGAGTGTAAAAGATAAAAAGAAGCTAAAATAATGTTATGTAGTGTAAAGTTAAAAATAATAAAAAAAACAAACAATCTTAATAGTGTGTAAAAAAGAAGTCAGAGAGAAATCTATCATTTGTACTTTTTTTTAGCAGCAGGTTCACAACAGTTGTAGTAGAATAAAAAATGGTCTTAATTTGGGTTTTTTTTAGTTTAGAAATTGTTCGTTTAATGAATAATGAGAAGAGTAAAAAAAAGATATTGAAATAAATAGCAATAAAAAAAATAAGTGTGTTTGTAAGATTTTTTATGTTGTAGATACATCTAGATCAGCTAAAAGTGTTTATTTAAAGAAAGAGTGATCAAGTGCAAAAGATAAATTTACTCTAGTAATGTTCAGAGATTTTTATTCACTTCTATTAACAAAAGGTGCATTAAAAATAAAAATAAAATATACAGCACATGAAAAGATGCTATATAACATTAATATGGTTTGCACACAGAAAAAGTAGAACTAGAAGTTGGAAAAATTGGGGAGAATGTTTTAAAAAAGCTTAAGTTTAAAAAAAAAAGCTCGGTGCGGTCAATTATTAGAAACAAGATATTGAGAAACTTTCAAACAGGGGCGCTGAGAGCTTTTGCCTTGCCTAAGACAGCAACCCTGACTGGCGTCCTCATTTTTATAGAATTTTTCTATATTATTAGTCAAGGACCTTAGTTTTGGTACCTTTTTTGTTTTACACCCCTGCTGATCTAAATGCTGATTAAATTTTAACCATGTATAGTGCCGAAGCTTTGGCTTAGGCAAAGTGGCTTCGGCAAAATTTTAGTTTCGGTATATCCCTAATTTTTACGGTTCCTCTATTGAATGTAGAAGATCTACTAAGACTTGTAGGTTGTGGTATACGTTGAGATAGTTTGTTATTATATCTTCTGCGAAAATCTCGTAGCCATTTTTCACCTGCACATTTATTTTTTATTCTTGAAGTTTCAACTTTTTTATGATTTTCTAAAGCATACTCATATGCAAAGGACCTTATCTGCTTTAATGTAAGTCCATAATGCAAACTTTCATCATCTGCAAAGTAGTTTAACAATTTTAATTCTTCTTCAGTTGAGAATATTTATTTTGGTTTGATATGTGAATATAAATATTCTCAATTACCAGATTTTTTAAACTGCTTTAACTGGTATATAAAAGTTGGGTTTTTAATTTTACCAAAGGCCAAATAGTCTGTGGTCCAAAGCAACCCAACGAAAGGCGTAAAACAAGATATAAAAAATCTACCAAAATAAACTAAGAAAAGACAGTGATGCCAAAAATGTCTTCCAATGTTTTTATACAATCAATGCCAAAAATGAAATGTATGGTTTTGTATGCAAAGTTTTTATGTTTTTATATTTTGCAACCCAAGCCATGTATTTACACAATTAAAAATAATTTTTTTCAAAAATGTTAAGCTTGGGTGGGCTCTAAAGGGATAATTAGAGGGAAATTCGGTGAAACATACATTGACTTTGGCACACAACAGGAACTTTAAATTTTCTCTTGAATCACATATGTATTTTAAGGAAAAACACTTAATATAATACAGCAGTCTTTCGCCAACTTTTGTTGCCTAGTATCTTCCTTGACATTTTGCAGGAATGAGCTGTTAACTTGTATATTGCCTTTTGAAATTGTTGATTTGTATTCTTCCATTGATGTTGTCTAACAGACAAAAATTTTCTGTCTGTTTTTTTTTTTATTTAAAAAATAAAATACTTTTTTAAATTTCTGATCATTTCATTGGATTCGCCACCCTTAAAAATAGCCAGGTACAAATTTTTAAGTAAAGAGAACAAATAATTTTAAAGTTATGTAACTTGAACCTTTAATAAATATTGCAGTTCTAAAGGGAAAAGAGAAGTCTAGCCAACATCTGTTAAAACTAATATGGTCAAATTTAAGAATTTATTTGGAGCCAGAGGCTAAAAGTTTTAAGAAATTCTTATTCTGCTAAGTACTCTCAACTGCATAAAAACCAAAAAAATCTGAGATATAGGGAGAAATTTTTAAAAGTTTCTGGCTCATTTGACACGGAATTACTCATTTGACAGTGTGAATTAAAAATTTATTTTTTAATTTTATAAAATCTCTTTGCATTTTATTAGTTAAAGTCAAACCTTATTAAACATGCAGCCAGTAGCGTAGAATAGGGAAGCCCGACAAGTCTTTGGTCCTGGATTCAATTTATTTTGAGGGTGCCAAAAAAAATAAGAGCAAAGAAAAGTTCTTTTATATAAAAAAAGATAATTTGTTATAAAAATTTAAAAAGTTGCCTTTTTAGTTGTTTTGACCATAGCCGCATACCACCTTTACAACGTCACTGCATGCAGCACTGAATTAAATACGAGTATAACAAAAAATATTTATAAATAATTTTTCTTCTTCTATTAGGATATTGTAAATGTATTTATAATATATTGCTTCCAGTTTAGCATGTTGAATACTGGATCTTTTCGACCCACTGCACAGGTTTTGCTTCTGTCTTTTTATGATGGTGAAGCTCTATAAATCAGTTTTATGGTTCTTAGCCCGAATGGTAATCAGGTTTCCGGAGCTCTGTGATAGCTCTCAGAAAAGTTGATTCCATCAACAGCTGTTAAATATTAGAGTACTAAATAAGCCATTTTGCTCATTGATGGTATTCCTGTTCATACTTTCAGTGTGCATTGCCGAGGCCACATTTAGAGCTTTTTTTAAGTGTCTAAGAATTTATTAGTAGTAATAAGGCAATTAATTGTACTATTAAATAATTAACTGAGTACTCTCTGTGTTTTGAATCAAGTTCTTTAACTGACTTAAAAAGTGGCTAAAGAATCAATGAATATAAAACACAAAAAACCACCGTTATTGTCATCTTTATAAGTTCGCTACATCAATCATTCACTAATATTCGTGGTCTTTTAAATAAGTTTTCTTCGGTTGAGTCTTATCTATTGGAAATTTCAACAAATCTACATATTAATTGCAAGACTAAATTGAGTTTAACTGTTTTATCTTTTGATCAAAGTGTTGATGTTTATCTTCTTTTAATTCGAAACGACTCCAATAGTCAAATGCTTGACATGGACATTTACATTCATAAGAATTTACCCATTTGTGTGCTTTTAATTAGTACTACTTATTTTTTACAATCTTTTTGATGTTATTACTAATAAAATTGACTGAGACCTTTTTCTCCTTTAGCCAATATTGTTGTTTTTTGTCATTTTCATGCTCATCAAATTAAATGGCTTGGTCATTGTGTCAGTGACTCTGCAGTTGTTAAGGACCACATTTTTTATCTTTCTTAATCTCTAACACGAATAGCTTGTCATTTATTATCTCTACTCAACTTATGTCTTGTTTCTGATCCTAGTCAGTGCTCAATTTCTCCACATTTACCTTAAGGTGCTTTTGATCACGCTTTAATCTCTCTAAAACTATTATATTATTCTTCTTCATCATCAGAATCTTTATTTCATCGTACCTTTTACAGCTATCTTAAGATTGAATGGGACAATCTTTTCATGATTTTATTTGTATTGGGCCTTGGATTGAAATTTTTTGTTTTCCAGTTGACTATTGTGCTTCTTGTAAAACTTCGTAAATTCAGTCTAGCATGGAATCTTTTTTCCCTCTTGACAATAATGAGACAAGCTTCACTCTTCTTGATGGTTTTACTCTGATTGTGATGCTTTAATTTCCAATCATAACCAAAAACTTCTATCACCAAAACAATAATCCGAAAAACAGATATAAGTTTACTATTGCTATAAGCCATTGTAAAAAGATTTAGCCTAATGGCAAAGCCCGCTATTCAGCTTACAAATTTTCATATATATATATATATATATATATATATATATATATATATATATATATATATATATATATATATATATATATATATATATATATATATATATATATATATATATATATGTATATATATATATATATGTGTTATATATATATATATATATATATATATATATATATATATATATATATATATATATATATATATATATATATATATATATATATATATATATATATATATATATATATATATCTGTGTGTGTGTGTGTGTGTGTTTGTGTGTGGGTATATATAAAAACAACACAAGTATATATATATATATATATATATATATATATATATATATATATATATATATATATATATATATATATATACATATATATATATAAATATATATATGTTGTTTTTATTTATTTATTATTTCAGACTCGTGTGTTCAAAAAAATTGTTCTCACGATTGTTACGAATTACTAGATAGTGTAATGTGCTCATGCCCACCTGGAATGGATTTGCAACCTAATGGTCTGATTTGTTTAAACAGTGATACAGGTAATAGTATATTTAACTTGTATTTATTTTATATTATCTAATATTCATTAATTTGACAAGGGCTCAAAAACAACTAAATATGCCACTTGTTCCCCTCTGTACTATTTTTTAGTTTAGAGAAATTAAGGTCAGCGGTAATAAAAACTAGAAAATACTTAAATAAAGACTTAAAATACATCAAAACCTGTTAGAGATATCAACAGTACCTTTTTGCACATATATTGTGTTCATCTTTGTACTTATAATTTGGATTGACATAGTGACATTAGGATTTCTTCATAACAACTTCCAGGTGGTTACCAAAGAATTATGTTTTGTTTTTTGCAATGTTTTTTGCTTTTGTATAGCAAATCCTACATTCGATAGTGATGAAAAGTACAACATGTTTTATAGATCTTAAATCTCACATATATTTTGACACAAATGGTATAAAAGAAGTTGATAAAAGATTAAAATAAAATTGTATTTTTTTAAATCTATTACATAAATAGTTTTGAGGGAGACTTTAAGGTTTTTTTATCTTTTACGAGTTTTAATGACCAAAAAGAGCCAATGTGGTTTTTTTTTATCTTTTACCAAATATAGCTCATGTGTGGTTTTTTTTATTTTTTACCAAAAATAGCCAAATTTAGATTTTTTATCTTTTACCAAAAATAGCCAATGTTGGATTTTTTATCTTTTACCAAAAATAGCCATTGTGGGTTTTTTTTTATCTTTTACCAAAAATAGCCAATGTGAGGTTTACAATAAACTATTATAACAATATAACAATATAACAAAATTTTCAAAAATTAAAAGACGTGTTGAATGAATTTATTATTAAGGAATTGCTGTTAATAAATAAAAAAAATAAATTAAAAAGTATAAAGGAAAAATATTAAAATTATAATTTCCTTTTTTCAATTTAAATGCCATCTATTGTGTCTTGAGTTTATGATGTATATCACCTTGACTTATTCAATACCATGTTTTTAAAATATTTTGAAAATAATGAAACAAATCATAAAGAATACAATTTTATATAATAACCGAATGTCATGGTAAGTATGCTTAAAAATAAATTTGATGGAATAATGTATATTATTCATAAAACTAAAAACTTTGAACATATTTAATATGTTAATATTCGATTCATGAAATATGAAAAAAATGTCATCAAAATATTTTTATATTTTACATTAAAGCTTATAATAGATTAAATATTTTATTTCAATGACTTCAACTTGAAGTGAATTTCAAGTTCAATACTTATCAAAACTTGGAAACCTTATTTAAAAACTATTAAATATAAATATAACAAAGAAGTGATTCTTTAAAATGTTAAATGACGTTATAAGAGTACAACCATCTTTAGTGTATAAAATTTAACTTTCAAAATTTTTTTGCTTTTACTTTATTTAATTAATTGTGATATTTTTATTTTTGATAGATCTAGAATTTTTTAACAATTTAAATTGTCATTTATGTTTACATGAATACAGGTCTAGACAAAGGAAAGTTTTTAGTTTAATATTTTTGATGACTAGTTTGACAATTTTTTACCTGAAGTTACTCTATTTACACTTATTGTTACAAGATTTCACTCATTGTTCATTAATTTTACTCCTATACTAAAAACTATATAATCCAGTCTTGAAAAAAAATCATAACTTTTTGATAGCTTAGAACAGATTGCTAATCTCAAGTGTGATCTATTTTCTGAACAACTTGGTATTTGAAGTGGCTGGTGAATTTAAATCCAAACAAAAATAAGTTGTTTACTGTTAATAATTATCACAAAATCAAAAAGTTGTTACTTCTATATGGATGAATAACAACACACTAATGAGTCTTTACAATATTACTTTTTAGCATTAACCTCTTATGGGAATCTCAAACATTGCTGAATTAGACTCTACTTAGGTGCATGCTAAGATAATTAAATAGCATTAGCAGTAAAAAATTGAGATATATTTAGATTAAAATTCGCTACCCATTTGACTCTCTTCATTGTGATAATCATTTCTTACTCCTGATTCCATTAACACATTAATATTTTTATATGCATACTTACATACTTTAGCGGTTATTGAAAGTAAATTCAATAAAAGGAGGTTATTGAAATTAAGTTTAATAAAAATATGAAACAATAAAACATGAAGATTTCAAGGCAATATATAAAAGCTATAGTACAAAAGTATAGTATGTATAAAGCGTACTGTAATGTAAGTGCTCTAATAAATAAAAGTATACTACGCATAAAGCGTACGCATAATGCAAGTGCTCTCGTTTACTGAATCCCGGTGTTTTCGACACTTTTGGTTTTCTCACTATTATTTGAGTTAATGGTAAATTTTTCATTTGCGGTTGAGTTGTAGTAAATTCTCATTGATAATATTGCACAAACTACGTTTGCACATTTTTAAAAGTTTTCAAGCCTATAGCTGTCTAGAAAGTTAAGTCCTTTGAAATTTATGTTCCATTGAGTCACTATCAATGTAGCATAATCGGGTTACTCTAATGGTAGTCGCACTGGCTTTTCTTGTTTTTGAAAAGTGTTCTATCTGGTTTTATATTGTTATTTTATTTACATAGAGTTTGCTGATAATTGAAAAAATATTTTTTGTATGTTTCCTTAGGTCAACTTTATGTTAGGCCATTGTTATAAATAAAGTCATAGATGTTGCCATCATTCAACATGGCGTTATTAAAAATATTCAAGTGGGTGTTTGTTGTAGAAACATTGACACTGTGAATGTTTTACTTGGTTTGGTGTTGAACTAAGTAATCTCATTCCAATATTAATAATCCTAATAATCCAAGAATATTTCGATATACTCAAAACTCAGGTAAGATAAAATTTAAAAGTTTGCAAGTTTTTCTTTTCTTAAAATACTTGTCATTAGATTTTATATGGTTCAGCTGTTTGGAAAGCAGTTATATTATATCTTCATATTTTAAAGTTTTAAACTATTGAAAGTAAAATATTGACAATTTTTTTCTGCAATCTTCTTTCCGTAATGATTAACTTGCTTTATGCTACAAAATCTCCCTATATATTTACATCAAAACGAAACTTTTGCACACAAAGTAGCTGGGTTGTTCACCAAAATTCGGTCCTCAAACATTGAGTAATTTGTTAACAAATCCATTTAGTTGAAATTGGGTCCTGTTGCTCATAATAAGAATTGTAAATTAAATTGGTTGGTTTAACTACTGGAAAAAAACACTTGTGTGGCCACTGGAAAGGCTTTAATCAAGACTTCGATTATCATACGTCAGCAGGAAACAAAACGTTAAGTTAGAGCATTAAAAAATTAAATAAAGTCAATAACAACTAAAACTTTAGACATGGCAGATCTATAAAATGAGCTATTTATCAATAACAATATTAATTAGCGATATTGAACTCACCAAAAACTACCCGAAATCTTAAAAAGAAGTAAAAACTATTACAATAAATCATCTAATATGATCACTAGTGACGCAGTAAACTATCAAAGGTGTAGGTGAATCATAATAACGGTTTTACTAAGTGTCAAAAACGTCAGTTCGAATAATATCTTCATTTAGACACCGACTAAAGTTATTTACTTTATTGAGAGTATTTAAATGGATAAACCACTTTCAAAAACTATATTCCAATAGATCTTTGAGGCATTGACTTTTCGCTCGTCAAAGTTAACATGAATTTTATTGTTTTCAAAATTTGTAAGGTTTTGAGAAATGATTTTCAGACTAAGTTTGACCTTTAAAAGAGTTCATTTTTATGTGAATTAAACATGATATTCTGTCTAAAGATTATGTTCTTCTTAAAAAACCTATAAATCTAAGTTTAGAATAACCGGAGCATTGGTGCTCAAATAAACAAGTTTTGCGTTATTAACACCTCTGAGATAATGTGTCTTGCAGGCAAGTTAAAAAATCAATTTTTTATTAAATGAATACAAAAAGATGTTACATTTTCTCATAAAAACTAAGTACCACCATTCACATCAATATCACTAAGTACTGCATAAAACTTCAATATTAAACGAAACTTTAAACTGCAGGTATAGCTTATAAACTACTTTGAACTATCGCCGCAAGTTTTGAGGTTTTACACATAAAATGATTTGAAGCTATCAATTTGAAAATCCATGATTTCAACTATTGATTTTTCTTCATTATACTTAAAAGCAAAAAATAATTAACTGCTTTTCAAGTCATAAAACGTTTTTAACATTATTAAATATAAAACTGAGAAATATAAAATTTGTTGATATTATTCATTTAAATTTTTAAGGTTTATTTCAAAGAAATGGAGTACTTAAACCCATTGGCATTATTTGTGGCATCATTTTTTCAATTTGTTTAATAATAAATTACCTACGCAAAAAAAAGTAAAGCTTTCTTTTATTCATTATTGAATTTTTTAAACAATGCATTTACATATACTTAAACCTAAAATTATTAAATACAATAGCATTTTCCTTTTTTGACGGTATTTACTAATAAAAGTTTTGTTGAGATAATATATAAATTTTTTTTTTTTTAATGAACTAAAATAACTTTTTTTTTTTATGTTATCTTTTTCTTTTGCGTAGATTAGAGAGAACTTCTGCAGAAGAGTCAAGAGAAATGCAACGTCCCGGTACAGATGTGGTTGTTCCACATACTTTTGACACACAGAATTCAGATGTTGGACAGCCTGCTCCGAATCGCCATGATTATTTGAAAGAAGATTTGGGAGTAATTAACATGGCTAACACTAATAATTCCTCTCCTCCATATGATTTAGAAGATCTACACCGACCGCTTTCATACGAATCTACACAGTGTTTAAACTCATTAAATGTTATTTCAAGCAATGACCCTCCGCCTATGTACTCTGAATAAGATTCTTATTAAAAATTGAACGAAGTGTTTATTAAAAGTACTTATAAGTTACTTCAGTTTTCCAAATTTTAACAAAGAAATCATGTTATCTCTCTTACTGATCAATAAACATAATAAAATTTTTTAAAATCCGTAAATAGTTTGTCTAATATGAATTTTTTACTTTAGTTTTACTTTAGTTAGCTAAATGCATCATTATTTTTTGCTATAGAAAACAAAACAGACGTACATTTTATGGAAATATACAACAGATGCACTCACTATAAAAGTATAGCTTTACAATTATTGTTTAGTAGTAATGTAGAAAAGTAGTAAACTCTTGTAATATTGATGTAAAAGAGTAACCTAATTAATAATACTGAATAGTAGTGTTAGAAGTAGTTGTGCGCTTTCAAATAGTAGTGTTAGAAGTATTTGTGCGCTTTCAAGCCTGTTTGACACAGTACTCTTGGCAGCCATTGCGAGCGAGGTAATGGCGAGAAAGAGTTGCAGCAGCTTTGTTTTATAAGAAAACGTGAACGAACGCGTATCCAAATATCTAACGTACGTAAACTTTAAATTAAGTAATGATAAAACATATGTTAAAGCATACTGAAAGATTTATCAAGTTTTACAGTTTGATTTTCACTTGAAAATTGCATTGCCTTAAGCGCTCCTTAATTTTAATATATAACATTTTTTTATCTTAAAAAAATTATTACATTATTTTAAAAATATTTCTTTGAGAATATGCCGGTGTGACATATGTAATATGATATGTAATAATGACAAACATATGTAACGATATAATACACTTTTACAAAAGAAAAGATATAAAGAAAGCCAAAATTTCATAATAAAAGATAAAAAAAAACATCACCGGTTGAAAATATTTTTTGCGTATATGTCATGATTGAGATACTTATGTTATTGATTAGGTAATTAGTCCTTATAAGCTGCGGATGGTCTAAAAGTTGTCTGAAACTTAATAAGAAAGTCTTTAAAAAAATGCTGCTCAAGAAGGTGGTGCGGTGGTGAAGCTGCTGAAGAAGGTGCTGTTGTGGCAAAAAAAAAAAAAAAAAAAAGCCCGAAGCTAGATAAAACTTTTAAACTTTTTTTTTACATTTACAAGTTTATTTTGCTACATTTCCTTTTTTACTAATTATATATACTGAAACTGTTTTTCAAAACGCTTTAATATGCTTATTACGTATTTCAAAAAAAACGCAATTAAAAAAATTGTTAGGAGTAACTCTTTGTAAAACATGTTTCCAGAACTCTTGAAAATATCTATTCAATAACGTTTTTAGGCATCTAAACTAGCTTATTTTATAATAAAATCATAACTGATTTTGTTTTTTTTCTTAAAGCGTTTAGAATAACGGCTGCAGAATGGATAATAGAACCAATATATTGAAATGAGATAATTTGACGCAAAAAGCTCTTCACAAATGCCACTAAACCAAAAATAAATAAATAAAAGTAATTGCTGTTTAACTCATTTAAAAACATTAAGTATACTATCGGCGTTTGCAAAGAAACATTTTATAAACCAATTTTTTAATATAAAACTAATTTTTTTTTAAACTTTATTGTCTAAGTAGGTTTGGCGCTAAACCATCCCTATATAAACAATAAATATAAACAAACATGTTATTTGTTTATGTATACTGTCTATAAAATGTAAAAAATCCGTTTTATTGAGGATCGTATGTAATATAAGTAAACTTTTCTAATAAATTTTTTTGGTCTTTTTTGGTCTTTTTTGGTCAAGCTGTTCTATTTTGAATTTTGTTTGTATGTTATTTATTTTTAAAAATATTGACAAGATTGAAAATACCCGAAATATATTGTCTCATCGAAGTGGAAAATTCGAAACTTAAATTTTAAATTTGTCCTTATATAAAAAAAAAGTAACTACTCCGACTCCGACTCCAGTTGTTGAAATTTTTTGAGTACAACTCCGACTCCGACTCCAGTTATTGAAATTTCTTGAGCACAACTCTAACTCCGATTCCAACTTCAAAGCAAAATTTTTGAAAAATTCTTTAAACTCTTTAAAACAATTCTACGCGATAAGTTAAAAATTTATTTTTTGACAAATTTATGAACACGGCGGTTATTTTTGACTGTTTCTCTCCCAAATGCTTTTTTTAAAAAATGCCAAAATTTATCAAAACTTGATCCAAAACGTCCGCAGATGATTATTTTTTTCGAAAAATTGCAAAAAAATATAATTTTTAGCATTAAATTAGGATTATATAATAGTATTTTAAGTATATTTTGTTAAATTGAAAATAAAGTTCAAACATATATTATCTGTTTTATTATAAAATCTACTAGTTAAAAGTTATATAGATATTGAAATTCAACTTCTTTTAAAAACTAGTACTAAAACTAAAAATAATCAGACTTTCTAAACGCTTTAAGAAAAAAAAAAAACAAAATGACGACGCTATAAACTATTAATATTATTACTTAGAAAGAGAGCTTTCTAGTTGATCTCAATTTCCAGTTTACAACTATATGTCTAAATTAAAGTTGTATAACATTTTTCATCAAAATAACCATCAAAATGTCTGTTTTTTTTTACAAAGTACAAATACATTTACGACATCACTTAAAAGAAGATATATGTTGTAAACTGAAACTGTAGATTTATCAGATCATATACTTTATCATGGATGAATCATTTTTTAGATCATATACTTTATCACGGATGAAGTCTATCTATGAGTTTGTTAGTTGGTTATATTTTCAATCAAAAAGATGACTCAGAAACCATTATGGATTTTTAAAATATATTATTGCCGGTGTTGTATTATTAATTGATGCGTAAAAATTTTAATATAGTTTAAACTATTATATTCTTAGTTTTTAAATATTGTATATTTAATAAAAATATAAATTTAAAATTTTTATTAAATAATTATATATTTTTTAAATTCATTTAATTACCTAACTTTTACACAATAATAATTCTAGTGTATTTTTCTTAGCAAAGAAAGATCCTAGAAATATTAATAATTTATATTCTGGGGGGTTAAAGTAAAATTTACAGTTTTACTTTACTCTTACTCTGAATCTTTGTGACATTTGTGACATTGTGACATATACCTATAGTATAAGTAATACTATAAGTAAATGTTAAAAACATATAACATCATTCACACAAACTTTCCTTTATGCGAAATATGTCAAAAAAAAAAGCATTAAATCGCCATGGATTACCAAAGAACTTAGAAAATTGTCCAAAGTTAAACAAAAGTTGTATATTGAGTATCTTAAGTCAAAAAGTGTTCAAAATAAAACTATTTCTAAAAATCACGTTAAAAAATTTGAATTTCAAAGAAAAAACTTAAAAAAAAATACTACTCAAACCTACTAGCAAAGTTTAAACAAAACTAAAAACGCACGTGCAAGTTTTAAATGAAATAACTGGTAATATAAGATTATAACATGCAACTTACCAAAAGTTATTAGAAATAATAATGATTTATAATCAAAAGGATATAGCTAATCAGATAAGTGACTTTTTTGTATCTGTTGGTTCTAATCTAGCAAAAAATATTCCAGTTGTAACCAACAAAACAAATAATTTTAGCCTTTAATAATTTTGAAATTTCAATGAAAGAACTTGAATATGGTTATAAAATACTAAAAATAAATAAAGCGAGAGGCCAGGACGAAATAAATAGTAACATTATTATATTATCTTACGTAATCATAAAAACTATACTATTCAAAGTGTTAAGTTACTCAACAAAACAAGGAATATTTTCTGACCAACTAAAGATCTCTAAAGTTACACCAATATATAAAGGTGGTGAATTATCGAGTATAACTAATTATCGACCAATATCTGTACTTTCTGGCTTTTCAAAGGTTTTTGAAAGGATTCTTTACAACAAAATATATGAACATTTTTCTAAAAATAAAACTTTAAATGACAGTCAATATGGATTTAAAAAAAATAATTCCACGGAATACGCCATACTTTATGTAACTAATAATACTGCAAATTCTTTTGAGAAATCACAATTTACTCTTGGAGCTTTAATTGATGTATCAAAAGCCTTTGATACAATAGATTATGAGATTCTTATACAAAAACTTAAAAACTATGGAATCAGCGGAAATTTATTAAATTGGCTAAAAGGCTATCTAGGCAACCGTAAACAGTTTATGCAAATTGACGTATCCTCCTCAACAAGTTTTTTTAGATATAACATGTGGTGTTCCCCAAGAGTCTATACTAGGGCCACTACTTTTTCTCATTTATGTTAATAATCTGCACAATGCCTCAAATTTCAAGACAGAAATGTTTGCTGATGATGCAAATCTTTTTCTATCCGGTAAAAATATCATTACACTATTTAATGTAATCAACATAGAACTAATTAAAATTTCAAATTGGTTAAAGTCAAATAAACTATCAATTAACTTGGAAAAAACTAAATAGACTTTATTTCATTCAAAATCACCAAAAAAACTTTTACCAAATGATATGCCTCAAATATATATTGAGAATGTTCAAATAAAAAAATCAAAAGTTAAACATTTCCTTGGTGTTTTCATTAATGAAAACCTAACATGAAAAAACCATATCGAAATTTTGCGCAAAAAAGTTTCAAAAAATGTTGGAGTAATGTATGAAGCGAAAAATTTTGTAAATAGACATTCATTAATTCAACTTTATCACTCGCTTCAATGCCATATAAACTATGCAAATATCGCATGGGGTAGTGCTAAAAAAACTCAATTAGATCCTCTATATCGGCAACAGAAGCATAAACACGTTTAATAAACTTTAAAGATCGTTATACTCATGTCAGACCTCATTTATTGAAAATGAATGTTCTTAATATATACCAGCAAAATGTATTTAATGTTCTTTTATTTATATACAAATGTAAGATAAACCTAATCCCTATATCCTTTCAAAATTTATATGCAGTAAAACAAAAAAACAAATATGACAATCTTGTTCATCAACATTATTCTCATAAAAGGTTTGGAAGATCTCTTTTAACATATTGCGGAGCCCTTCTGTGGAACAAAATAGTTTTGAAAACTTTTGCTTTTTTTTCAAAGTTGGTGTTTTCTTAATTTTAAAATTAAGCTGAAAAAAGTTATCTTGTCAATTGATAATATCTTT